GGTGAGAGTGTCGTTTCCAACCAGACGATTACTGATTGAGTCTCATCACTGAGCATTGTGCACAGAGCTTACTTACACATGATGAGCCTTTGTACTGTAGTGTCATTATAAGTCACAGTATGCATCGATTTTACTGGCGTCTGACCCCGGGATTGAGTGAGGCAGAGCAGACTTAAGTGTCACAGGTGACAACAAGGTGAGTCCATAAATAGATATGGAAAAGCACTCTGAAAAAGTACAGCTTGGTTTGATTAATTTCTTAATCCAGCTGGTGAATATTTGCCCCCTCCTCTGGAGCACCTACTCATGATGGGACACCATCTGTTTAGTCATTTATGTCATAGTTGAACAGGAAACCATTTTTTTTTTGCATATTTGCATTTGTGCATCTACTCCAGCATACTGCTCTTAAAACAGAAAGATCTTATTGTGCATGATTTTTTTTAATGCTTGAAGCCGATGTTAAATGGTATTTAAAATGCATTTTTTACATACTTCTGAATGAAGCACAATTTTCAATGTAGATTGTTTTATCAATATTTTACAAATTATTTGATACATATACAGACTGAATGTAATAAAAAAAACAGGTTATTGGAGGGATAGCATGGGAAAATAAGAAGGTTTGGTGACATCAGCCCCAAAAAAAACCAAAAATAATATTTTTTCTCCCTTATGGAATAACATTTCTTATTTTTTTGTCTTGTTTTCCAGTATAGAAACAAATCTGGACATTCTTAAAACAGCATGAATTAATTTACTTTTCTCACCCCATTTTTATAATACAGTTGCCATATACTTTTTTGTATAGTTTTATATATTTCAAGTAGTTGTTTACATATAAATTTATTTGGAATGAGAAAGGTCATGTTATTGGAGGGGAGAAAAATAAAGGGGTTTGGTGACATCAACCAAAAAAGAAATGTTTTTTTTCTTATCTGCAAAAGTATCTGAACATCCTTAAAACAACATCAATTAATCAAGATACTAAATGTATTTTGTATATATTTATGCACTTTTTTATATAGCTTCATATTAAGTAGTTGTTTTTTTCTTGTTTTAAGAATAAATCTCATTACATTTAGTTAGATTTATACTTCAGAACAATACATTTGCGCATAGAATAAGACGAATAAGTAGAGATATATTATATGAAAATGTAAGTCTTCATGTGCAATCATATGCAATTTTGCTTCTTGAGTAAATCTTTAAATTTTGTATCCTAGATAAGATGATAAAACACTGATATAATGAAAGCATATGGTCATTTTGAATTTCACGCTGACATCAATTTTTATTGATTTCTTTTAATTTAGTACAAATGATAATTTATTATTTCACGCGGTGAGTCTGTGCTTTCAGTATAGTCAGTAACATTGGGCTGATGCAGTGGCAGCAGATGTCTCTGATGATTTGGTGTCCCACATATCTCTCTGCTTCAAGCCACGACCAAACAATACGCACTGAAGCCATTGAAGTCTGTCACAGTTCCTAGCAACAATTTGTTCTTCATTACTAAACCTCCAGCCAAGGCTTTTACCACTACTGACCCAAAAGCACAAGAACCATTTACCATTTCAAAAGTCATTCTTCATTTTTCGTATTGCTGTAATATTTTAACTGATAGCTCCATTTTGTAAGAGTAACATAAGAAACAGACATTAGTCTAGTGTTTAAAAGCTGTGTTCAGGTTTAAAGAGAAAGAGGGTGGAATAAGAATGAGCAGATGAAAATATGAAGAAGCTAAAAAGATACAGTTTGATTGATGTTACATTTATTTATGATGGCAGCATGCAGAGGCGTCATGCACATATTCATTTTTGAGAGGGCACCAGTGCAGTCCTGGCACACATGGTGCCCTTGGCAAGACAAGACATGACTAAAGGAGAAAATGTGAATGTGAATGATTAACATGCAAGAACAGCTTTGACATTTTGATAGTCCATTTTATTCCCCACAGGAAAAAGCGACATGACACTCAGCTTGACTGACCAAATTTAAACATGAATTTGTGATTTCTGCCACAGTTTTTTATACCTAAAATGATTTAATTTAATTCAGTGTTGTCATTTGTAACAAAACAAAACAAAAAAAAATAGAAATTAAGATGAAATCAAATCAAATATAAATATTAAATGAAAAACTTAAAAACTTGAACTAAAATTAGAAATACTGCCTTAAAAACGAACTGAAATACGTTTAAGCTGAAGTACTAAAATGACAAACTAAAAATGAAATAAAAAAATTAAAGCTAAATAAAATGAAATTAATAAAAAACTAAAATTAATAAAAATGACAAAAGCACATAACAAAATTATAAAAAAATACTATAATATTAAAATTATGAAAATAATATTGATTCATTTAAATTTTTTTTTTTTTTTTTTTTGAAGTTGCATTTCACTTGACGTAACAGATTGAGGGGAATTTGAATTGGCATTACACTTTAAGGGTGCAAAAATAGCCTTGATAGTCCATGACTGAATTTATAGAATGTCTTTGCATCTAAAACAAAAGGCATTTTTAGCCTCTAGTTCAGTTTTGATGGATGCAATGCATGCCCTCTGCTGGTCAGATTGAATATGTAAAAAAAAATAAAAATATGTAAATGTAAAAGCAAGCTTGAATGCAACTAAATAGCTCTCATTAGCAAAAGTGATGTTTTGATTCTATTAAATTTAGCACCAGTGAAGCACGGATGAAAATCGATTGGAAATGTTTATGATTAAGCTGCAGTGGTGCCATCTAATTTGTAATAATGGTTTCAGCCGGGCAGGATATGGATTTTTCTGAGAAAGGAAAAATACTGTCAGATGCGGTGAAATTATTTTTACATTTATAAAGTATTATAAAATATTGATTAGTCATCAGGATGTTGCTCATAGAATCAAGATATTGGACTAACTGACCCAGATATTATCGTTGTTGTTGGTTTTTTTTTTATCATATATTTTATCTGATAAGCAAAGCCATCTGTTGTTTTTTTTAGGATAAGAATAAAAGGTTTTTTGGTTAGGCTGACGGTGCAATTTATCAGTCAATCTGTTCCCACATTCCCATCTGCTCTTTCCAGTAGTGAATTTTCCTCCGCGAGCTATGTGTACAGTCACATCTGATTCAACGACGCTCAGACTAAAGAATCACTTAACTAAAAGGCTAATCAGGCGTTTCTGCTGATTGAAGGTATTGCCTAGCGGTTTGGAAATTCTGTCTTGTACTGCCAGCACAATGAATGTTATTTGCAATCCTCCTTGACACGGTGTACATCCCAGAAGGGACGTTGGCCAAATTCCTCAAAGCCACTCTGCCCTGCATAGTGTGTTCGACTGAATGAGGTGTAGAGAAAGCTAAATATGAAACACAATCCCCCAATAGGCCATTTAGTGACAACGCAATGAGGAAATTATGAGGGATGTTGTCATGCGGCTGAAGGTAAGCAGGGTGGGCGGTTTGTGGGGAGATAAGGAGTAGTCAGCGACTCGGTTCAGTCATTCCCTGGAGAAGAGGACAGTCTCATTAGAGATGCAGTAGAGAAAAAGCTCCGCTTATTTTGACGCTGCTGCTATTTTTGTACTCTTGACTGATTAACAATGATAGAGGACAGCTATCATCAGTTTTGCATGGCAAGCAACACTTTCATTTTCATTAGAGAGCGTAAAACTCTAGTCGTGATCGAGCTGGTTATGTTGTTCTGCATTACTAATCACACAGAATTTGAAAAATAAACTGAAAACTAACCTAATCATATCTAGGTAAGCAGGGTGGGCGGTTTGTGGGGAGATAAGGAGTAGTCAGCGACTCGGTTCAGTCATTCCCTGGAGAAGAGGACAGTCTCATTAGAGATGCAGTAGAGAAAAAGCTCCGCTTATTTTGACGCTGCTGCTATTTTTGTACTCTTGACTGATTAACAATGATAGAGGACAGCTATCATCAATTTTGCATGGCAAGCAACACTTTCATTTTCATTAGAGAGCGTAAAACTCTAGTCGTGATCGAGCTGGTTATGTTCTGCATTACTAATCACACAGAATTTGAAAAATAAACTGAAAACTAACCTAATCATATCTACCAATTAAATGGATAGTTCACCCTCATGTCGTTCCAAACCTGTAAACCTTTGATCATGTTCGGAACACAAATTAAGATATTTTTTGATGAAATCCGAGAGCTTTCTGACCCTGCATAGACAGCAACGCAACTACCACATTCAAGACCCAGAAAGGTAGTAAGGACATCGTTAAAATAGTACATGTGACATCAGTGGTTCAACCTTAATTTTATGAAGCTATGAGAATATTTTTTGTGCGCGAAGAAAACAAAAATAATGACTTTATTCAACATTTTCTTCTGCTTGCAAACAAGGCAGATTATTTTAACGATGTCCTTACGACCGTTCTGGGCCTTACACGTTACGTTGCTGTCTATGCAGGGTCAGAAAGCTCTTGGATTTGATCAAAAATATCTTAATTTGTGTTTCGAAGATGAACGAAGGTCTTACATGTGTGGAACGACATGAGGGTGAGTAATTAATGACAGAATTTTCATTTTTGGTCAACTATCCCTTTAAATTTTTAAATGGTTTACCTTACACAATATTTTAAGTTAAGCGCAATTATTATGTTTGTGCAGAACAAGCGTTCTACCAAGAACAGCCTTTGCACTGGCAAGCAACACCATTTTCTTCAGAAAATGTAAAACTCTAGTTGTGACCCAGCTGGTTGCGGTATTCTGTTTTATTAATCACACAGAATTTGATAAGGAAACCAAAACTAACCCCACCATATCTATCAATCATATGTTTGCTTGTGTAAAACGAAACCAAAATCTAAAGTTCTACAAACTGAATCTTGGAGTTTATTAAATTGAATAATTTTTTTGAGTTCTGCCAAAGTAGTATTGTATCATATGTGTAGAATTTCTAAAGAACTGTTAAACAGTTCTCTAGTTTAACCCTCAGATGTCATTCACTGATCGAGTGCATTTTGTTTGGTTTGTTTCAGATGATGCTATGAAGACCACCAGAGATGACTGATGTGGAACCTGTTGTCTCTGACTTTGAAGCCACGGGCAGGACTGGCCGGCGGAATGCATTGCCAGATATTCTAGGTTCCACGGACGGTCCTGGAGCTGCTGACCTACCTGATAAACTAGCCGAGCTTTCAGTAGGAGGTACTGTATGTTGTCTTTTGTTCAGCTGGGTTTGATGTTCATTAGTCTCAATGTACATGGCAATAATCAAAAGTATGTGCTTGCGAGATCTAGGCAAAATATGGGAAAAATAAATGAAAATAATGCAAATGAATAAAAAAGAAAGAAAACAACCCTACTAGCTCACAAGGATAGGATTTCACTGGATATCAGCAGCAGAAATTAATCATTTTAATGCAGCAAGTGTGCATTAAACTGATCAAAAGTGATAGTAAAGACATTTATAATGTTACAAAAGATTTTTGTTACATCAAATAATCACACAAAAATTTGTATCACAGTTTCCACAAAAATGTTATTCAACTGTTATATTCAAATAGAAAATGTGTAATACTATTTCACAATATTACTGCTTTTACTGCATTTTTGATCAAATAAATGCTGTCTGAGTGAGCATAGTGGGCTGAAATCGTTGAACAGTAACGTATAATGTAAAATGATAATAATATATAGACTTTTGGCGATTGTGGGCAAGGCAAGTTTATTTATATCGCACATTTCAAATACTATAATTTTAAAAATAAATGTACTTGACAGAGAAAATATGAATATAATATCTAAAATTATTTAAGCAAAATAATATGAAATACATAATAAGCAAAAAAATAAGCAATGCATAATAAGCAATAAAAATTGAATTAAAAGTATACATAAAGGGACATAACCTGAATGAAATACTGCAGTGTAATTAAACTGCAAACTTATGCAAGGGAATTATGCAATTAACAGGGCTTGAAACTAGTTCAGTGCATAAGTTAACAAGGCTAATTTAATCTACGCAGTGGACCTCTGATGTCTAAAATGGGCCATGATGTTGGCAGAGTCTAATCACGCCTCCGTGTGAGACTAAGCTATGACTAACAAAAGCACCTCTCTTTAAAAGGTGCTTTTCTACGGAGAAAAGAGCACTCTCTCATCACATATACACTTTCCTCAACGCTTAAGTGCTTTTGTGTGATCGAGCTGTCATCAGGAGGTCGGTTGGAAGTTAGACAGCCACCAGATGCTGTCAGAAAGCCATTCCTTAGTCATGGTTGCTCTATGGGGGGGGGGGCAGGCCCCCCTGGCCCCCCCACAAGCTACGCCTATGGGTTGCTGTGGTAGTTGGTGAAAACCTGTGATTTTCAAAGACACATGTTGATACATGTGTCCAGTATATCAAACTAAAAAACTTCAGAAGGAGTGATATCAGCGATTTAAACCCCTAGGCAATGACCTTGATTCAACACATACACTTCTGATAAATATGAATTCAAAATGCCTTCTTTTGAAGATCAGATCATGACTGAACCTTCCTGTGCATCAATAACTGCCTGCAGTCAAACACTTTTGATCTGCTCTGTTATCCATAAGCCTCAAAGGCATCGCATGTGATCGCTGCAAATTATGTTCAATGAGTGATTTGTGATGATGCTGGAGATTCTCAGCAGTGCTGAATCTGCTGCCTATTCCACATCATGCATTATTTATCCTGTTTTAAATAATAATAAACACAATACTGTTTCTGTGCTAGTGTCTTAAAGGGATAGTTCACCCAAAAATGAAAACCGTGTCATCATTTACTTAGCCTTATGTCGTTCCAGAATTTCTTTTCCGTGAAAGCAATGTTCTGTAACTGGGTCCTGTTGAATCATAAACTACCTCTTCTGCCATCTAGTGGCCTTTCTTATAATTGTCCTACAAAATGGAATTGTCTTTTAATACAAAAAAGATTTTTAGCCAAGTTCAAAGAGTGAAATCTTCCTCTCATATGAAATAAAATTGGATGGTGATTAATACTGTCAAGCTCCAAAAATAATGAATAATCACCATAAAACTATAAAAAAGTCCTTCTGCTAGGGGGTCTGCAGTAAAGTTCAGAGAAAAATAGTGTAATAAATAAATAAAAAGTTAAAATCTACAGAATTTGGTTTCCTCTTATAAAGACTGATCAGAAATCATGAGAATTATTTTATTTTACAGTCAACATTTTGTGTTTCTCTTCAGATTTGTTCCTAAAAGTGTATCTAAAAGTGCTTTTATGATGGCTAGAAAAAATATACAGAGCCAATAATAGACACTGAATATTCTTCAGTCATCAAAAAGTTTTAAAACCCCTGGTTTATACAACTTGTACACTATATTTCGAATCTTCTAAAGCTATATGGTATCTTTGTGTGAGGAACAAACAAAATTTTCCTTTTTTCTTCTCAATTAGAGCTTTCAAATCTCATTTACACATGGTTTAAATTCAAAAATGGTGATATTATTTGTGTCACAGCAGGTTTGACTATACTAATGCCAAGTGCCATTGTTTCCAGTATGTCATGTGATGAACGGACATAGAAAACATAGCCAGAAATAAGATTTGAGAGCTACAGACAAAATTATCAGTGAATAAATTCCAAATCTTCTGAGTTCTAGACTGTAATTTTATATGAGGAAAAGAGCTCAATTTATTACAGCCATTCTATAAACCATTTTTATGATACTTAAGTGTTTTTTCCCTTTTCGTGGCTTGACAGTATAAATCAACATCCACTTTCCTTGTACGAATTTCTGGCGAATTTGCCTAATGTGGTGCTGCTAATGCTGCTCGTTGTGACTATTTGCTTGTGTTTGAATTGCTTTGGATGAACATGTCTGCTAAAGAACAAATTCACATAGAATATTGCATTTAATGAGTATTTTTGGCCTCAACGCAGATGATGGCGAACAGGGCGGAGAGAGCTCATCCTCGTCCGACCCACCTAAAGAAACCACAGAGGGGGCAAAGACAGAGGGCTCATAACTCGGCAGTGATCTGACCTCATGAGAGACTCACACATGACCTGCCTCTACTCTTGTCCCATTGACCAAACAACTGTTACACTCTGTGCTATGCAACATTGAGACCACCTATGATTGGCATTCAGACGTGGGCCAGCGGGAAACAGCTCATTCCTATTACAGGAATTCATCTGAAATTGTGTTTTTCAAATATCAACGATTGTTCATTTCATACCTCTTTTCCCAAAGACTCGCTGTCATGATTTTCCTAACGACCGGCTGTTTTGTGTGTCTTCTGAAAACTGATGTGACCTGCTTTCCCATTTTAAAAAGGAACATTTTGTTTCAGACTTTCCATAATAGCATTTTTCTCTGAATGTTGACATGCAGTGGCAAAAATTTCTCTTTTTGCACAAAAAAGTAAATACATTCCATTTGGTGATGTAAGTAAAGTTTTTTATCTTACGATATTTGTCTGTCCTTGTACAACACCACATCTTCTGTGTTTTGTATTGTAAAGATATGCATTGTTAACATTCTAGCCAGAGGATAAGAAACAGTGCTGACTAACATGAAATATGATATTTTCTTCTTGTAAATACAGAATTGTACATTATATTTGCTAGTTTTGTTTAAAAGCCTTTTGTTTTGTGCGTAACTGCTGTCAGTGTTGCCCTGCGTGAGCTGAAATTGGATTGTTAGCTGTCTGACGTATCTGCAAACATCCGTGGTCATCTTAAGTGCTTGTCTCAGATATTTCTTTGCTGTTGTTGATGGCAGTGAAAAAATACGATTGTGGAGACTTGTTGTTCTTCCTCTCTTTCATCTTTTCATCATGCTTCCATCAGAAAATTACATTTGATTTCATTTTTAACCTGGCCATAAATCTTGTGTCATTTTGTCTGTTGTGAGCTACATATAAAATGCCATTATGCTATGTTTAAAAACTACAATAAATCCTGTGCTTAGTTTTTGTAGTTTTAATTTTTTGGACTGTGGACCAGTGGTGGTGGTTTATGTAACCAGCAGAGGACACCAGAGATATCTTTTATAATACAAGGGCACAAAAAAAATCACAATATTCCAGTAGATTTTATTTTGGGGAAAAAAAAAAACATAATATCATTACAAAACAAAATACGTTTCTATTAATTTATGTAGTTTTGTTATATGTAAAATTTTGTTGCTGTTAACTTTTTGAAACTAAACAAAGCATTTGATTTTATCTACAAAATAGGATTGTAGATGTAGAATTTAGAGCATAAATATCAATATTAACCTAGAAAATAACACAAATGTATTTATATAGTT